ACTTCCTTGAGTAAATCACCATTGAGAAAGGCATTATGTTTCATGGACTGCATTTTTCTTCTCAGTCATCGCTTGTTCTTCGTACCTATTCAGATGTAAATTAGGAAGGAGACCCTACAGATCGTTGTTCCACCACAGGCTATTGTTTTATTCTTGGTGATTCACTTATCTCTTGGCACAGCAAGAAACAGACTATGGTTACTTAATCTAACAGAGAAGCTGAATAAAGAGTGCTTACTAATACTACCTCTGAGCTTCTGTGGTTGCGTTGGCTCCTTCAAGACATGGGAATTTCTTCATCCACCGCCACTCCTATTTATTATGATAATAGGAGTACAATCCAGATTGCACTATTTTTCACGAGCGTATACACTAAACATATTGAGATTAACTGTCATTTTGTTCATCATCATATTCTTCAGTTGTGGTCCATCACTTCACATGATTAGATCGTTGATGTTTTCACCAAATCGCTTCTGCTATGCCACTTTCAAGATCTCATTTCCAAATTCGAGATGGTTTCATTCAATCCACCTTGATTTTGAGGCGGGTTGTTAGAATATATTGTTACCATGTATTGTTAGCATATATTGTAGAATATATTATTATCATGTATAGGTTTATCATTTAGGGTTTAGGTTTTCTTATTCTCCACACATCTTGTCACCTATATAAACCCCTATATATTCTCATATTAGATATATCAATACATCATATATTTCTCTCTCTTATTTAACATTCACCGAAGGCCTTGTGGTTCAGTAGTATCTCCTATATATTTTAAAGTGGATGATGAGCATTTGGGTCTCCAATAGAGCAAAATGGGTGCGTGAGTGATGTGGTTGGTGTGTGTGAGTTTTCTTGCTGATGAAAAAAAAATTTCATTGGTTCAATCTAATTAAAGCGCAACTTTAGAATTATTACAAACTATGTAGATAATTATTAGATTTATTTATTTATATATATATATTTTTATAGTTTATGGTACTTATTTTTTTATTTTTATCACCATCAATTAGTACTTGAATTTGGTTTTCCTAGTTGGTATTTTGTTTACAAGAACAATAATAGTAATAGTTCACAAAAGTATGGACAAGGATCCTATCTTAAGGGATGTCTCTTTAATTTGAAAGTTTAAAATTATTCACGTGATGATTTGGGCACATGGCAAAAGTGTTAAAAAAAAAAAAAAAATCTTGAAGTTTTATTAAGTGAGCACAATATCTTTTTGCGATATAAAAGTGAGTAAATTGGTCTCTGTAGTTTCAAAAGAAAAGTGAGTAACTTCTCCCCTTACATCTCACCTTGGACCTTTTTTCACTCAATGTCATTGTGTATTTACCACACTACCCCCTATTACTAACTTTTTTTAATAAAAAATAAAAGACAAAATATCTTAAATGCCCTCTATAATAAATAGGGGTATTACATGGCCCTAAATTGACCTAAGTGTTGTAAATCCTCATATGGGCCTCTGTCTGGTTTATATGAACTCGGGCTGAATGGGTTTTCTACTCCTTTTTTTTTTTTTTTTTTTTTTTTTTTTTTTTTTTTTTTTTTTTTTTTCTACAGAATTGGAGAACACGTGTCCATTAACTTTTTCCTCATCTTTATTTATTTTTTTGTAACGCTTCCTCATTTGTATTCATGGCTTCGTTCAGTAGAGAACGAACAGACGAAAAATCATTCATAGCACAAAACTAACTAGCAACTTATTAAAGTTTCAACTAAATGAAATCTTTGAAAGCTATTTTAAGGTGAGCAATGAAGAAGGCTTTTACAACAAAAATGAATTTACAACTCCACATTTCAAATCATATATAAGAGGGGATTTAACTGACCTTTCATGGTTGTATTTTATCCTTGGTTATATTGTATTACATTACAGACCATTGATATAGTCTAGTTCCCAAAATTCTTTTAGTGGCTAGAAAAGACAGAAGTGAAATAAATACGCATGAACATATATATATGGTCCAACAATAATTTATATATATCACAACTTACTATAATAAAATACATTATATATATGTGTGTGTTTAAATAAAATGACCTTGGAGGGAGAGCATAGAGAGTGGATGCAAATGGAAAGGAGAGAACAAAAATAGGTTTGATTAGAACAGTTATATTGGAGGGTATTTTTGGGATTGATAAAAATTATCAATCATGTGCATCACAATATGAAAAGAAAGTGGATGTAAATAAAATGTAAAGGGGCAAATTGTTCACTTTTGAAACTATAGGAACTGACTTGCTCACTTTTATACCACAAGGGAAGTATTGCGCTCATTTGATGAAACTTCGGGGAGGTTTTTTTTTGCACTTTTGCCTGAATACATTTATAAGTATAAACATGTCCTCATATAATTAAAAATTTGTTGTAATTAAATTATGAAATAATGTAATTATTTACAAAATGTTAGATTTTCTTCAAGAAATACAAATGAAAGATAAGATGAGAGGATCCAAATCCTTCGCACACATAATATTTTGTATAGCAGTTGTCCTTCTGCGAAGACAAGAAAGATGTGGTAAAGCAATTTGGGCCTGCTTGATTTGTAATTCTAAAAATAGTTTTTAAAAATTTAAAAAATTGGTATTCAAAAACATTATCAAGAAAATCGTTCTGGGAGTTCCAATCCAAGCAAAAAAAAATATATATATATTGAATGATTCTTATGTTTAAACTTTAGCTAAAGGAAGGTGTTGAAAGCAATTAAAAAAAATAAAAAATAAAAGAGCTTATGTTGATAAAGTTAAAAATTATTGAATGGTTCTTATGTTTACAGTTTAGCTAAAGGAATATGTTGAAAGCAACTAAAAATCTTTGATGTTTGAAGTTTGGAACACGTTTCTTCCGAATTTGGAGATGATGATGTTCATAGTTTAGTAAAAACTGAAAAAGCATATGCTTTTTAAAGATGCACTGCCATCAAATCAAATCAAATTTTGAAGTTTGAGGTCAAAATTGTCTTATTTGTTTGGAAAAAAACAAACGTATTCTAGAATGTCCACATTTCAGCTACCATTTTTTTTGAAATTGGCAAAATGTTATTTTCTTTATTTATTATAGTCATGTAAATGGATGGGGTTCATGTTGGATTTACCATAATTTATATTTAATTTTTTTAGTTAAAGAAATAACGAATTCTAATTGCAAACGAATTATTGATTTAATGTTTAAAACCATATCATAATTATTGACCTGAATTTGAATTCGAATAAAAATTAAATCCATTGACATGTTTAACTATAAGTTTAGATGGACTGAAAAAGTTATTAGTATATAAAATAGTACATGCATTATATAATTATGCAACTAAATAAATTTAATAGTAGATAATTAATATATATAAATTTAATAATAAAAAATTAATATTTATAACTTATATATTTAATATTTGTAAGATATATATATATATATAATTTTGTTCGCATCATTATTGATTTAATCTAATATTCTATTTGCTAAGATAACAAGTGAGCGAAACTGAATCATTAACATGTTATCGAATTTTTTATTGAATATATATTGGGATGATCAGATTGGATATAAGAGTCCAATATATTAATCGGTCTAGTCCATGTAAGAAGATAAAAGTAAAAATGACATATTTTTTAAAGCTTCATTTGATCTTTCACATATCTCAACTAATTTATTGAGAGTTTTTTTTTTTTTTTGAATTAATTGAGAGAGTTGATTGCAAGGTTATGATTTTCCACATTCGTCATTTAGCTTCATCTTTTTCAACCATTAACTGTTCGTTCTCCTTGTTCGACAGGTTAAAACACTAAATTGCAGTACTTTGTTGGAAGCTAGAGTTAGCTTCAACCAAACATAAGTACAAACGAAATGATAGTTATAAAAGAAATGCTTAAAATCACAAAAACTGTTTCTATTTTTAAAATTGTGCATAAAATTTTTAATAAAATAAAAAAAACTCACAAAATTTATCAAATTACTCTTAAACCCGTGACTGACCCGTTAACTAAATTGTGAAATATCAAATTTGACATTATTATTTAACATTAAATTAAAAATTATAATTATATTTTAAAATTATAAAAATACGGCACAGTGCTTACAAAAATATTAATTAAATGCTATTAACTCAAATTTGACTTTGGAAGTGCTTGGAAAGAAGGCTAGGTATTTTTGTAATTTTATAATAATAATTATTGTATTTAATTTAATATTAAATAGTAAAGTCAAATTTGACATTTCACAATCTATTTAACAGGTCGGTCATAGGTTTAGGGGCAACTTGATAAGTTTTGTTAGTTTAGAGATTTTTTAAAAAAAAAAAAAAAAAAAAAAAAAAAAAAATTTCTATCAAGTTTTATGCACGATTTTGAAATTGGATGGGGTTTTATGATTTTAACTCTTGTACTTTGTAACTGATAGATTAAAATAAGGTTAAGACTTGTCTACTCACCTGTGAGTAGGTCATCCCTACTTATTGTTGATGTGGTCTAATCACAAATGCACAAATACACTCTAATTACAGAATTAGGTTGGTAATAAATAAAGACAATAACTTTGTTTGAAATAAATTCTAATTTTTTTATTTATCACTTTAGTTTATATGTGTATTTGTGATTGAATCACATTATTCTTCAGTAAAAATGACATACTGATCGGTAAATAGGCAAATTTTGTTCTTAAAAAAATTATTTTGTCAACAGTTGCTCTTAATTATAAAATAATATGTTATATTTAAAATAATAACTTTTTCATCGTTCAACTCTTTAAAAAAAAAAAAAAAATGAAAGACATCACGCGAATGCAAAGGTAGACCAACCAAAAAAAACAAACCTCATTCATAGTGGTCCACAGGCTAGTTCCGTAATTTTGCTGGTGTCTTTTTCTATCCTCCCTTAACATGTGACACCACGTGCTATTTGTGCCCTCTCAAAAAATTAAAGCGAACCCACCCACCCCACCCTACACAATAATAACAATTAACAAACAAGAAAAGTCTTCAACACTCCTCATCTCTCATTTATCTCGTGCTTATATTCATATGCCTTTCCCTCTTTCCATATATATTCCTTTCTTTCTCTCAATTCCTTCCCATCTCTTCTTCTCTGCTTCAAAACATCCAACAATCAACAAAATCTCATAATATCAAAATGTCAAGAACTGTAGAACTGGATTTCTTTCCCATGGAGAAACAGAGCTCTCCCCAATCTACTCCTCAGAATAAGCTCCTTAATCGCCGAAGAAGCTTTCGTGGTTCGTATATATATACACCACTATGCATTCAATATACAACATTTCTGTTTCTTTTATATATATACACATAAAATTTTATATCTAACTATATATATATATATATATATATATGTATGTATGTGTATATGCAGATATTCAGGGTGTGATTTCGAAGTTGAATCCTGAGCTTCTGAAGAATGTGATTGAATCTGGATCTGTGAATCGGAGTTTGATTGGGGATTCCTTTGATAATACCAACAAGTCGATTTCGGTTCCGTCGTCTCCGAAAGATGATCAGACTCTCTTTCCTGCTTTGCCTGTTTATACTCCTATCTTCAGGTACCCAAACATTTCAAATTTCAGATGCTTAATTTCTAGATGCTTCAGTCTTTGGAGAACAACATTTTTACAAAAATCTGATTGGTTGAGGGTTTTAAATAGTCCTTTCTGAAAGACCCATTTTCAGAGAACTGTTTTGTAGCTCTATAAAACAGTTTTTTTTTCTTTTATTTTACAGAATTAACCAAACAAGTCCTTAATTTCTAGATTTAGGTGTATTATTTTTCTCTCTATATATGAAAATGATGAAATGCATTTGTTGGTTTTTAGGCCGAATTCGTGTTGTGAAGGAGCTCCTCTGACGATTTTCTACAATGGATCCGTCGCTGTTTTTGATGTCCCTCAAAACAAGGTTTGTTATAAATTATAATATAATATTCTTTTATTTCTATTTTTTTTTTTAAAAAAGAATTAGGGTATTTTGGAATGTATTCTAAATGTTAATTAAAAGTTGTTTGGGATTGGTTTTAGGCTGAGAATATTTTGAAACTTGCCGAGAAAGGAGTCCCGAAAGCTGTTGAATCATCAGATTCCAAAAGCAACCAAGGACAGCTTATTGAGACACTCAACAATGGAGGTGAGTGTTTTTAATATTTATTTTTTACTTTCTATTTTTCTTCATATATATATATATATATATATATCTATTAAATTGTGTTTTGGAAGTTAAGAAGGAAAATGGGTTTTGTACAGATCTACCAATCGCTAGGAGGAAGTCATTACAGAGCTTCTTACAGAAGCGCAAAGAGAGGTAACAGACTTGACCTCCTAATTATATATTCAATTTAGTTTACTTATGTTCTTTAAAAAAAAAAATTACACTAACCACCTCTATTAGTCACTTAATTCTACAAGTTAATTGAGTATATGATTTCTTTATCATTTTTGTATTTGTGAAAAGGGAAAATTGGTATTTTGAAATTTCAAATTAGTAAAACATCAACAAAAATCATTTTAGACTATTCTTGACCGTTAATAGAGAGAATTTATTACAAAATTATGTCTAACAAGTACTAATAAAAAAAGCCAATATAATTTTTCACACAAAAGGAGTGGTGGGTATAATTATGGCAAATCTCATCAAACCAAAAAAAAAAAAAAAACCTTTATTATTGTTGAATGGAAAAATATGGTTGATTCAGTCTTCCCTTCATTCCATTTACTTCATGAAAAGTAAAAAACACGGTCACAGGGACCCTTCATGTTGACTTGTACTGGAACACTCTGTATAAAAAACCCTAGTCTTAGTTGGATGGATTTCTTTTTCAAATGAATCTTAAAATGTTATTTTTCATCTATGTTACGGTGTTTTCTTTAACCTTAAGCTGTTATTGTCTTTCTCATTGTACACCCTTCCCTAATGTTCTTAACTACAATTATATATATATATATATATAGGTTGATTCAAGTGATTGAGACAATACTACTTCTTCAATAGTAGTCGGCCATGCTAGTATTGAATTATTCGATTGATTTTTTATGTGGACAAGAACGTATTAGAGAGCGATCATACCCTTCAAACAGTTGACTTTAGAAAATAGTAAGGCGGTTAAACTTTGAATGTTCCTAGGTGCTTTCTACCAAAAATACTGGACTATGCGAGACCGAATCTTTTGGTTGCATTTGAAGTCCAAATCAGTCTTGCCTAATTGATAAAAAAACGTGGGAGCTTTTGTGTCAGCGATGAGCTAAATCATTAGAAAATTTCTTGACAGATTAACATTTACTCCACAAACATTACTCTTGCCTCTTAAAGTTGTGCTTTAACAAGTCCCAACAACCACATTAACATATTCATTCTGAAGTTTTCAGTTCTAAACAAATTGCTTCTTGAATTCATGTACTGCTTCAATTCATTTATTTATGTTTCAAAACCGTGTCTTTATAATTAGTAAGACCAAATATACTAATAACACGCGGTCTTGAATGTTTGCAGGTTGACTTTGGCTTCACCATATGGTTCTCCTGCCGACTATCCATTTTTGGTCCACAATACTTCCGGACCTAAACAATAAAAAAAAAGGTAGGGGGGAGAGAGACATATGGATAGATGGAGAATAGACCAGGAAGGTGGCTTATATTATTATATAAAAGAGGCATTGCTCGTTTTATTAGTGTTATTTGGAAGTAGGGAAAACGAAATTGGAGAGAGGGTTGGCAATTTTGAAGCAGCCATTGTTGAAATGGAATAAAGCCAGAGACAGGTTGCATCTACAAGACTTGGCTGCTGTTGTGTGCTGGTGTGTGTGGAAAGAGAGAAATGCTTACATTATCAATGGTTGTTGGTAGCTTTATGGACTATCAGTCTGCTCTGGATATGGTAGTCCGCTCTGGATATGGTTCCTTGTTAACCGGTTCTCGGGGGATGGAGCAGGAGCTACTTCTCTGTTATTGCTGATCCTTCGGTGGCTGAAACCCTATGTGCTGCGACAGGCAATATTGAGGGCTGTTAGTTGGAGTTTCTCTACAGTTCAGTTCGAAATGGATGCTTAAGCTGTTATTTCTTGTTTGGAGACTCAACCCTTGTTCACAGTGCTTTTTGTTCATCCTGAGTGCAATGTTGAAATGGAATTGTAGTGTAATGTAGGAGGGGTTGGAATGTATGATTCAATATATCTATCCTTGTTTGATATTTTGGCTCTTCCGTAATTCGGTTGTATGATTTATATCTAGGGGTGGCAAAAGGTCGCGTTTGGATCCGGTTAAAGGTTAAAAGTGTTCAGGTTGAAAATGATTCACCCATGTCCATTAATTATTGGACGGTTATGGGCGGGTTCATGGGTTGGGTCATTTATTACCAGCTCTGGAACTTATATCTGAAGAGAGCTGATTTTGCAAAATTAGATCCAATTTTTCTTACCGGTAATATATGCCAACACTGATCAATCTATCTTAAGGTCTCTCTAAATTTGAAATCTAATAAATTATTGGAAATTCATTTCTCCGTCTTAGTTGTATTTAAATTCATAATTCTCCCAAGTAAAATATACATGGAGGGATTTACAAAATTATTAAAATTGATTAATGGACATTAGTTGTGATGGTATGATCTCTCGTAGGGGTGGAGTCAGAAATTAAATAACAATAATAATAATAATATTAATAAATATGACAATAAATATAAAATTTTCAAATCAAAAGGTAAAGAAGAAAAATTACCTATAAGAAAGATAAATAGTTAACAAAAATTTTTAAAAGGAAAGAAAAATGAGAGAAATTTGAAAGAGAAAAAAAATTGGACATCGATTCAAAAAATTACATAAAATTTAAAGAGTAATAAAGAGAAGAAATACAAAATTTAAAAGATAATTTTAGAAAATAAAAATTTTAGGGTAAAAAAAAATAAAAATAAAAAAAATTTGGGCATTCTATTAATTGTTAATTTTGTTACTCTTTAACCGAAATTATAAATTAGTTCAGTTTTTCATTATTATGAAAACTTTTATGAGACAGTAAATTCATGAATTTTCTATTTACAACCCTATAAAAGATGCGTAATAGAAAAATTAGTAAAATTTTCATATAAAAGTATCTTCAATGCAAAATGCTATTTTTTCATGCCAAAACTATATTTTGAAAGGAGTTACAGTGACAAAATATTATATTTTAGCAATTCTGCTCCAATGGTGCATTTCATCCAAAATGCTATTTTTTGACACAACAACCATTCTTTTTCAATTATCGTAATCGTAATTGGTTTGATAGTTCATGCTTAGATTTGATGGGTTGTGCTACAACACTAGTGTAGAAGTAGGTCGGTAGATAATTCATGCTTGTATTTGACGGGTTCTGCTTATTGATGCAATTTACATATTCTCTTGACCATGATTGTGTACTTGTAGTCACAATTCTATTATTATTATTATTATTTTTTAAGTTATAAGTATTAATCCTAATTTGATCCCAATTTCGGAGACACGGCTTGATCAGGCCCGCACCCAAAACCAGGGGATATCAAAAACAAAATGATAATAAACGAATACAGAATACAAAAGTATAATAAGAAATAAATAATATAGATGAAAATGGAAACTAAATGATAAATAAATAATCCTTTAAATAAATCCAATAATTCCCAAATGTAAAGAATCATCTAGAATACAACTTAGGAATTTATATCATGGACCCCTATTAAAATCTCATAACTAAAAACAATAATAAATGTCTAAAACTGAATAATAAAGACATAATGAAAATCCTACGGCGACGACGACACCAGAAGAGTGATGAAGACTAGTCTCTACTATGCATGAACAACCTTTAAGCCTGTTACTGACGAGGACCTAAAAAATATAATAAAGATGTGTCAAAACTCACAAACAAGTCCTTTCTGCAACAACCCAAATGGAGAGCTGATGAAAGATACATCTACGTAGTCGATATATATATATATACACACACACACAACAAAGATTTTGTGACGGCTCAAGTTTTGTAACTCGGTACATCAATGATGACCCGAAAGTTAACCCAGTAACGGATCCGAAATGCGGAAGCGAAAGATAAAACCAAAGTCTCTAAAGATATAAATGATCCTTAAGATACTAATGTGACCTTTCATGAAGTCACGAAACTCAAAGAGAACGAAAGAGCAAACGAGGGTTAAAACGACAAAATCCGTTAATCAAGGGCAAAATGGTCAATTTACAAATAAGAAGGAAAATTTGACTCCAAGTAAGTCAAATGAGGTCCATACAACCTAAATTAATCATGTCACAACATTCCATGAGGTTCTAAGAACTTTGGCCAAAAATCATACAAGATTCCCATTCTCGGTTTAAACAAAATTTGAGACTATCTCACTAAAACATGAATAACACCCACTGTGATTTGAATCTAAGAATGGCATTGGTGCCATTGGAAATCTGACTCAAAATCCTTGAGTTTAGACTTAAGAGTCACCCAATTTGGACTAGGAATGAAGGAGTTATGACTATTTGAAGTTAAAGAAGCAAAGCTGATAAGAAACTGAAAGGAGAAAAAGATCTGGGGCATTGAGGTCGGCTGAAATGACATTTAGGTCGGCCGAAATGAACCCAGAATGACCAAAAAACTGCATTTTGAGGAAAAGTCACTTCGGTCTGCAGAAATGAAGAACCGGTCAACCGGTTGTGACCAAAACAAATCCTAAGCTACTGGAAAATGAGTTTTTACTGTGCAATTAAATCCAAAAGGCCATCGCTCGACCGAAATGACTCGAGAAAGTGCTGAAAGACCTGTTATGCACCAGAAATGATGAGGCTTTACCCAAGCCTCAATCCCCACCATAAAATGGTCCAAAAACAAAATTTAAAACTGTGCAAGCATGCCAACAAACGTATTGTATATGTTAAAATGTGTTACAATGGCCCATGGCCTCATTATATATCATTTACTCGAAATCTCATGCCAAACCACAAAGATTAGAAAAATTACATTTCAAAGGCAAAACTTGGAATTTAAATGCATACACTTGAACTTTAGAGTTTGTGACCTTTGACCTTATTACGTACATGTCAAATAAGTTCCAAATAGTGTATCTAAGTACACTTTACATATCATAAGGCAAAAATGGCATATTAAACCTAACTAAGTATTACAACTTTAAAGGTAAAACTCAAACATGCTAACACTTGCATGTGAACAAGAAAACATTGTAAAGAACTTCAAATCAACAAAACGACCAAGGGATATTGTGCATCCTGAAACCATATAATCTTGCCTAAGAAATAAACTAATAATTTTGGGTGAGTAAATAAGTTACTCGTAGGGAATGAATATGCATAGACCTAACATTTTACAAGTTTGTATAAATTAATCCTTGTGGTTCATTCTACCTAACGTCTATGGCAAAAGTGAGACCCAAGGAGCATCCTAAGCTACCTTAAAGCATATCTAGCATAAATCATATTTTTATGCAATTAAACAGTATAAGAGCATACGATACAACACAACAAGATATAGATTATCAAAGTTATCAACTTAAAATATAAAATACGAAAAGAACTAAAATGGGTCATGCCACCTAGCGTCTATGTTTCAAATGAGTCTATAAGATCATTCCTAAGCTACACTTGAACAATATAGCATAAATATACTTAACAACATTAAGATTGCAATGATTCATTAAAAATCATAATGCATAAATGTACCTAACAACATTAAATCGCCAATAACCAAAATCAGAAATCAGAAGTCACAATTAAACATTGGTTGTCAACTTGAAATTGAATGCGAAATCAAATAGTGGAAGACTTGGACATCAAATCTCGGAGTAAAACCAAGATCTAAACGGTTATTCCAGGAACTAACTCGCTGGGAATACCACCCTAGTGCGCAGAATAAAATGGGAAGAACTTGTACCTCTCGCACTAGAGCTAAACTCTAGCCATGTCTTTGTAATAATGTCCCAAGTGACTCCAAAATCAATAAATAAGTTCACAACTTATACGTAAATAAACAATGCACGAAACCACCTTCCATGCACAAGTAGGTTGAAATCACATAATACATGTCTTAGGGTTTCAATTCTAAAATGACATATATAATGTCAAATACAAGTGTGCAATTCATTATACAAGACAATAATATATTCAATATTGGAAACATGTTCTTATTAATATAAATTTAATAACAATGTTACTCAATGCTTAAAACAGAACCAAGTGAATACACAACAAGTTTAAATCCATGATTTATACATAGAAACAACTTCTAAAGCATAATTAAATCCATGGAACAATTAGATAGAGTTTAATTAAATAAAATATTTAAATTCACTAGATTTCAAATCAATTCTGAATAGCCTCAAATTAATGTATGTTAAAGAACATAGCATGGTCATCAATAATATCAAGTTAAAAATCCAATTAAGTGAACAAAACACTTAAAATAAAATTAATTAATCTAATTAATTAATTTCCTCTAGATTTTAAAACAACATTAAACGTCTTAAAGTTAACATAGGTTAAAGAACATACCAAGGCCCATTTAATTATCACAGTACAAGTTGATTTCATACTGGTTACAATCATGTGAATTAAATCTTCTTAAAAGAAAGTTATTAAATAAAAATTGTAATACTTATTCAAATGTTCTCAATTTAATATATGTTAATAAACATATCAAGGCATAATTTAATAGAATGGCACAATTTAATTCCATTACACATACAACCATGTGAATTGAATCTTATACAAAGAAAATAATTAAACTAAATTCTAGATTATGAACAAAAGCATGCATTATAACGACCCGGGTTTTCTTCAACCCGGTGGGTAAGTTATGAACCGATGATGGACCCGTTAACGGATCTAGATGCGGAAGCAAAAGATGAAACCATTGTCCTTTGAGAGATAAATCATCTCTAAGACTCCAATGTGACATTCCATGTGGTCACGGAAGCTAAAGAAGGCAAAAGAGGGAACTAGAGTTAAAACGAATCAAATCCGTCAACTAAGGGCAAAATGGTCAATTCATAATCAAAAGGGGAAAATTGACTCTAAACAAGTCAAAAAAGGTGAATAAAACCTAATCTAACCATTTCCTAACATTCCAAAAGGCTTTAAGAACTTTGGGTAAGAATCCCACAAAATGCCCTTTCCCGGTTTAAGCGAAAACTAACCCTACCTCACTAAAACATGGATATTTCTC